TTATTAATGGATGTTTGCATCTGTTTGTCTTGAGATATGCCACATCAGCAAATGGGGGTCCCTAAAACTTTACTCTATCCACTTCACTAAGGTTGGCTCTCCTCTGAGGAGGCAGCTCTTCCCTAGTCATATTTTGAGTGCCTTCAGAACTGAATGGCTCATCTTCTAGCACTATATAGCACAACGATTCCCTGCTATTCATAAGATTTTGACTGGCCTTAGCCTAGAGGCTTCACCAAAATCTGTCTGCCATGGGTAATCTTGCTGGCATTTGAAACATTAGTGGAATAGCCTCCAGCCTCACAGCAAGCCACTCAAGCCACCACAGTAAGACAAACTGACAGACAAGTTTGTCTTCCCTAGATGTTCTACATTATTCTTCTCATTTTCTGGTCTGTCCCTTCCTGCTTGCTTACCCAGCCTGCCCCAGGGGCAAATACCCACCTTCGACTGGTCCTGGGGGCTGGCTTACTAAGGCCTGAGCCTGGGGGTGGTTCCTCACACACCCTCTATAGTCTATAGGATTTCAATATCTTAAAATTGACTAACAATTATTTTGTGGCTAACAGATAATCTATTTTGGTAAATCTACATCTTTAAATGAACACAATTTGTATTTTATACTTATTTGAGATATTAATCTGCAAATGTTAATTAGATTGAGATTATGGATATTATTCAAATCTACTATAGCCTTACTTTTTTTGCTCTACTTTTTAATAAATTACTAAAGGGTAGTGTATCTTCAAATATTATTATCTATTTCTTCCATTATGACTGTTAGTTTGTGATTCATGTATTTTGTAGTTGAATAATTTGGTGCATACAAATTTATGATCGTTGTGTCTTCCTGAATAATTTTCCTCCTTAAATTTAAGACCATCTAAGATGGATATAGCCAGCTTTCTTATGTTTATATTTTATATGGTATATCCTTACAAAATAGATATTTAATTTTAATCTATCTGTACCTTGTCATTTAAAGTGTTTTACCTATGGGTAACATAATTTGCATTGTTGTTCATAATCTTGTCTAGTCTTACATGTTCTGCTTTTTAATTGAAGGGTTTTATAAATATATAATTACCACAATTATTAATGTGCAGAGATTTAGGTTTGCCAAATTACTATTTAAAAAATCCCATCTATTTTTTCTTTTCCTTCCTTTTCTCCTCTCTCACTATAAATTAACAAATAATTCAGTATCTTATTTTTAATAGGTTTTGCAGTGACATGGGATATAAAATTAAAGGAAGCATCTGATATATGGGAAAATGGCTTATTTAATGTGAAAAAGATAAGCATGACCTTTCATACAGATTTCAACCTTATTGTTAGGAACTAACCCTATTATTAAATATATGTTTCTCTTTTTGGTCAAACTACAAATGTGCTTAATACACATGATGGGGTCTGTAACTAACATCTTAATTGAAATTCTGTATATTAGATGTCCTCTATAAATTGCATGCTTTGGACAACATAAAGTTCAACAACTTTTCCCGGTAGTGTCTATATCATTATATGAAGTGAATGAATATGCCCAAAATTTCATGCATAGGAATATTCACACCAGTATTATTACAAATCACTCCTATTGGAAATAACCCAACATTTCCATGAAAAGAAGATAGATAAATAAGTTGTGATGTTTTTAATGTGATGGCAAACTATGTTATAAGGTCAATGAAGAAATAACAGCATAGAATTTAGAAGAACAATGATGAATTTTACAAATACAATGAGTGAAAATTGACCATTCATTTATAAAAGTATGTACTGTACTATACAGAGCCAGCTTTGTGGGCATGTGATCTGTGAATTCCTGTAAGATCTCATACTTGATATAATGCTCTGTTATCAAAGTCTTGACATTTGAACAAGTCTAACACATTTTTAGTTTGCACTGGTCCCTACAAATTATGCAGACATTCCTGGATGTATAATTTGATTTGTTGTTGTTGGTTACCATGGAATTGATTCTAATTCATGATGACTCCATGTGTACAGAGTAGGACTGCTCCATAGGGTTTTTACAACCTGATCTTCTAGAAACAGATAACCAGTCTTGTCTTCTGAAGTGCCTCTGGGTGGGTTTGAACAAGGAACCTTTGCTATTAGTTAAGTGTTTAACCAGTTGCACCACTTACAAAGAGACCATAATTATATATGAGTGTAGCTCAGGATATAGTTTTTTTTTTTTTTTTTGGTATAGTTCTGGATAGTAGCTTTCCTGGGAAGTAAAAGAAAACAAGTGGAAGAAGGTTTCTAGGGCTCTTTTAATATTGTTTATCTGCTTGCTGTTTACATGAGTGTGCTTATTTCATGATAATTCATTGAGATTTTTTCTTTTGTATATTATGAGTCAATAATAAAAAAAAAATCAGAAATATGTACTAATGTTGATTTTTAAATTAGAACCCAAACCAAACCAAATCCACTGCCTTTGAATCGATTCTGATTCATATCAACCCTGTAGTTCAGAGTAGAACTGCTCCAATTGAAACCCTAGGGTATAAATCTTTATGGAAGCAGACTGCTTCATCTTCCTCCCATGGAGTGGCTGGTGAGTTAGTAGCTGAATACTTGTAAGGGTCTTAAAAATCCTTTGGATTAGCATTTATTATGAGGTCCAGAGATTTGGTAAAAATAAGCTTGCTTTGTCTTTTCTGCTCCCTCATTAGAAAATAAAACCAGTGAAAGTCAGATTCCATTATGTTATCTGAATCTTTCCTTGAAATATACTTTTGTGGGCTGATAATTATGCTAAGTTTGAAAGAAAAGATATTAACTACTCGTCACATTGACATGCTGAGTTATCTGTTTGAGAATTATGAAAGTAAATGAAATTTTTATGTTTGATTCTTCTTCCCTTATAATGTGCATGCCCCTTAAATTATGTGAGATTCAAGTAAGCCAGTAACCTCAGAAGTCAAAGGAAGTAAAATAGCATTCTATTCTATCCAGGCAAAGCAGTAGTGCGTAATGGCCCTATAGAAAGTGCTTTGATGTCTTGCCATAAGGCTTGAGGCGAGGCTCAATGAACCTCTTTGAAAATTAGCATATCATCCGGTAGCATCTTAACTGAAAAGATTATTGCCATTTCTTTCCAATGAGAATTCTTTCATTTAAATGCTACATATTGTACAGTAAGTTTGAACCTGTGATTTTGTGGCAGATTATAGATTTAGTTTTAAAATAATGATTGCAGTTGAGTGAAAAAACTTTAATGAACACATATAACATAAAGTTAAATCAGTCAGAAATACTGTTCATTTCAAGTTCTTTATCTGTCAGTCTCATCAGATACATTAAAAGCCAAATGCTAAAGAGATTTTCTTTTTAAATTTCATTCTGCTTTATTATTTTACAAATCTCTCTATATGTGATGTATGGTCCATGTTGAGAATGGAATCGTTCCTTACTTTAATAATGTTTCAGAAATAATTACATTTCCTTAATTTAAAACAAACAGAAACTGACTATAACTAAGAAGTGTGGGTTGATTTCTTGTTTTAATATTCTACTTTTTAGCATTTCAGTGGTCTGTTATGGGCAAGCATAACTGATACAATTATCATATTGTCTCTAAATATTTTTCTTAGGTTTTAAGCTGCACCATTGTTGGTAGAGTTTGACATTCTTAAAATTTGGCTTTCTCTCCAACACAATCATCCTGTGACCATAGATCAAAATATCAACTTTATACAGATCTATAGGATACCTTCTCCAGCTCAGGATCCAAGATGGGGAAATCCTTTGCTAATTTCATGTGCAAGAAGGACTTTCATCATGCTTCCAAATCCAATGTTAAACAAAATTGGATGTTATAAGAGAAAATATAATATGATAAGAAGAAACAAGAATCAATTCAATAGTACCTTAAAGAACAAAAATAATAGTTTACTTATGAAACATAGATGAACCTGCAAATTACATGTATGAAGCCCCACTAAGAGATATGAATGAAAACAAAGAGAAGCAAGAAACAGAAGGAGAGACTGAATATAAATTAGAATGGCAGAGAGAAGTCCCACTAGAAAAACATCCCAAAGATAACATGAACATCAGAGATCAGCCCTTTGGTATTCTGATTAGAAATGTGGGGTGCATTACATGTCACAAATGGGGCTATGTGAATAAAGATAAATAATGTTCTTTCCTTGTTCTTTCTGGAATTAATACATATTTGGTTCCTATTGCTGGCTCAGAGACATTAATGCACTCCTCAGAGCTAATAGCAGAGATGAGAAACAGTGAGTTTGCACTGAAACAAAATGTACTGGGGAGAAACTTGACTGCAAATGATGCATCACAGGTTATGTTGCAAGTGAGGGTGAAGAAGATTCAGAAATTAAATTTAAATTTTTAAAGTCTTTAACAAACAAACCAAAACAGAAATATCTCAGGAAATTGGATCAGCTCAAGAAAGAAAAGGGAGAAGGATAGAAAAAAAGAAAAAGTTTCAGAAGAACACAAGTCAACACAAAAACATGAAAGCAAATCTTCCTCTTCTTCCCCACTGTATTCTTCCTCTTTTTCTTCCTCCTGCAGTGAGACCAGAAAACAGAAAACAGCAGTGAAAGTGAGTGATAACAAGTTTTATACACACACACACACACACACACACACACAAATATATATATGAAGAAGATAAAGAAAAACAAATATCCTGGGTATAACAGCAGTGATTTTGTGAGAAAGATAAGTTTAAGAAGAGAAAACTTTATGAAGAACTTTCTAACTGTCACAGTAACAAGGAAAAAGAGAGGGAAAAGCTTAGGTATTTTTAAACAAGAGATTTCTGGGAAGAATAGCAAATAGATCCATTCTGATTCTGACAGGAAGTTCAAAAGCCTTAACTACAGCCCAAGGAAGAGAGGATCTGAAAGAAATGTCAGGAACAGCAGAAGCTAGAGCAGGGATGAGAGGAGTAGGAGGAGCAGAGGAAGATTAGAAAATGGATTCAGTGAAACCCCAATGAGGACCCACACAGAAAAATGACACCAGAAAGCCATGGCATCAACATATGCAGAGGAGAAAATAGGCACAGAGAGAACTCAGGAGATAAGTGTACTAAAGTGACACAGAGAGAACAAAGCCAAAGTAAAGAGAAAATAAAGAGATACTCTATATGATATTTGGAAGGAAGGTTGGGCAATCTACTGTAGTGATACTGCCTCGGAAACCCAAGGAGGGGTCACTAGGAATTGAGTCCGACTTGATAGTACATAACAACAACAATAACAACTATATGATATTACCTGGAAATAAAAATATTTCCACTTTCTTATTGGATACCTCCAGTAAGTGTCTAAATTAGATGCAACTGTCTTTCTAACAACAACAAAAAGTTCTATTTTAGTTTTCTATCTCTGTAAACTCAAGTTAATAGCTCAAGTATTTATACCACAAGAATGAATTCTGTAAGTATTTGTAAATCTATTTTGAGGCTGTAGAAATATTTTCCATTGGTAAATGTTTCTTGAGCCTTATAATAGACACAAAAACCCATATAACTGTGTAATATTTTGTTTGTTCTGAAATATCATCAAAAGAATGACAGTAAAACAACTAT